CTCCCAGCCCGCGGGGTGCTTTCCAGCAGCTGCGCCTGGCCGAGAGCGGCGTGGGGGTGCCCAGACTGTCCCGAGCGACCGCCGGAGGCCAATGATTTTGGCCCGAGAGGCACCGACCCTGCCAGACTTCCAGCGAAGAGAACACATCTACCAGCGTTGACCCCTAAAAGGATACGGGAGAATGAGCTGGGGACCGTACCAAGAGTCCAAGGACTGGACTGGACTGGACTACACCGGGTTGGCCTAGGTATACTGGGCTGGACTGGCCTGGGACTTGATCGAACTGAACTGAACTGGACTGTATGAACCTGGACTGGGCAAGTCTTAATTGGATTGACCTGGACTGGACTAAACTGGATTGGAGTGGCCTGAACTCGGTTGGTCTTGACTGGACTGGACTGGATAGGCCTGGACTGCGCTGGATTGATAAGGGATTGGTTGGACTTGGGTGGACTGGATTGGACTGAACTGGGTTGGCCTTGGCTTCACTGGACTGGGTTGGCATGGCATGGACTGAGCTGGACTGGACTGAACTGGATTGGCCTTCACTGGACTGGACTGGCCTTGAAAAAACTAGAGCAGAGTGTTCAATGAATTTCGGAATAACGCCTTTTCGCTCTTAAGAGCAACCAACATTGCCAACGAGGCTGCAATTACCCGCCAACGAGGGCCTTGATAGGCCCCATGACGGCCCAAGAGGATCACAACACGACATCAGAGAGCCCCACGACGGCCCAGAGAGGTCAGCAAGACTCCTACAAGGCGGATTTCGAATGCGCCAGACGGCCCAAGAGCGCCACCAGGCTACCGCAAAAGGCCAAAGATGGGCCTAGGAGGGAGGGCCGAACCGCAAGACAAGAACCTCAAGATGGGCCCTGAGACGATCCCTCGCCAGTATCCCCCAAAGTGGCTTCTCCAACAGCTGGGAGCACACGAAAAGTCCACAAGCATGGCCGCACGCTCGCTCGACATTTCAGCCAACAGGCCTTTCCGAAGGCATTGAGTGGTGCTGATTCGCCATATGCTGACTCGCAACATTCTTCGATAGAACCCCTCAGTGCGAGCACTGGCCGGGCAGGCACACAAACAATAAGCACTCAGATGAGCATGCGTAACTTTTGGATGCGTATGTCCTAGCAGTTCTCATCCTCGCAAGCATTTGTTGGAAAGATGTCTGGCAACCTGCCAGACGCGTGTCCAACGGGACTAGACTAGATGTGGACGGATGATCGCACCGCCCCCGCCGCTGGGAAAGATCTAGAGAGGACGATCAAGGTCTATTGAAGGCGACGACGACGCCCACGAGCATGCCTGGAATCAAATTTCACAAGCAGTGCTTGCGATTAGGGGTTCTTACTCGTGTTCTTAGGTAACTGGGCCCCGGTGCCCGTCCGGCCGTCTCGTCGCTGCCCGTCGCAGCCGTCCGCTGCCGCCACCTGCACTCGTCCACTGCCGTCCGTTGCCGCCGCAGCCGTTCCTTGCCGCCGTTCGCTCGCATGGCACAGCCCAGCACAGCACGGCTTACAGCAGCATCGCACGGCTCAGCTCAGCGTCGACTAGATTAGCATGGCATGGCACATAATGCGATAGCGTCTCATAGAGCGGTGCAGCCAACGTGGTGCGACTTCATACTGTACCGCATGGATTACATTGCGGAAATCGCCACGCATTGATCGGCGGTGTCTGGCTTGCCCTGTAGAAAAAGACACTGCTTAGACTGCATCGCACAGATCACATCGCAGATCGGTTGGCACACAATTTGGGGTAGACGCTGGCTAACACTTACAATTTTTTAGCTCATCGCCCAGGGCGCTGCTGCATGACGGAGTCCTGGCTTTTGCTCCAGCGATGCATCGGCCACGTCGGGCTGGAGCACACTAGGACCACATGTCGCCGCGCACCGCCGATGCACCGGCGATGCGGCCATGCGGATGCGGACCGATACTCCGACCCCGCCTGCTCTGGCCTTATGAAAGCCGGGGCTTTTTACTTTGTTTTTGGTATCGTCGCCCGTGTCATGGAGAGACAAATTCGATTGAATCGCTTAGTGAAGAATGGAATTCTCTTAGCGGGCAGTGCATAGGTTCTATAATCACAGGAGATATGAATGTTCATCACAAACACGGGTTGCGATTCAGCAGGACAACAGAATCCAGATACCGCTACGCTCCCCGCTTCCCTCCCGGCGTGCGGCCTGACTGAGACTTTTTGCAGACAGTCCCGCCGTGGCGACGAAGACCTCCCAGGAGGCCCAGCCAAAGCCGATAGCGGTATCGGTGTACCTCCTCCTCCTCCTCCTCCCCCTCCTCCCCCCCCTCCTCCTCCTCCTCCTCCTCCTCCTCCTCCTCCTCCTCCTCCTCCTCCTCCTCGTACCTCCCGGAGGCCCGGACCTCCGAAGGGCGGGACCGCCACGCCGCTGAAAGGTGCGGCCTGACAGCCGGCCAGTCCGGCCATGCCGGTCCGGCCAGGCCGCCGCTGGGCAGAGGCGCCGGCTGCGGCGCTGGGGCGCGGGCGTCGGGAGGCGAGGGCGGGCGCCCGATGGGAGGGGCGAGGGCCAAGCTAGGTGCGCTCGCGTCAAATCTGACATCCTACCCCTCCCTCCCATCCCTTACCATGGCGTAGATCCCCTCTCAACTCGCACAGTCGGATGTCGAGCAGGGCAATGATCCCGAAAGGGTACGCGATGCATTGTAGAGCACGGCATGGCATGGCGTAGAAGAGCACCGCAAAGCGTAGTATGTCACAGCATGGCGTGACGTAGAGGCGCCTAAGGGGGGGGAGAGGGCGGAGGCGGGGCGACCAGTGGCGGAGAGGCGATAAGGGGTCGCGGCAGTGCCACTGGGGACGGAGGGGAGGCGAGGGGGGGGGCAGGCAAGCTGGGCGCGCTCGCGCCACATCCGACACCGTACCCGCGGCACACATCCCCTCCCATTGCGTTGGGTCCGGGTCTATCCGCCAACTGCAGGACCTTCATGCCAACCTGGCACTTGCATGATTTGGCCCATCGTTTCCTGCGCAATCGGATAGGGCTGTTCTCTGCACATGGGAGGAGAAACAGGAGGCGGATGAGCAGGAGAGGAGGACCAGGAAAGAGGAGGAGGAGGAGGAGGAGGAGGAGGAGGACCGTCGCATGGTTGATGAAAGTAAATCATCTGTCGACAACTTAAATGCTATGCTACCCTCCATTCCCCCGCAACTCGGCCTGGGGTGGGCGGGTCCTCAGCCTACGCAGCCTCCTCCGCCATCTTCAGCTGGATGAAGGTGGAGAGTGGCACGGCGTGGTCATACAAAATCGGGGACCTTCGGAGACCTTCGGAGTGCCTCCCGATGATGATGAGGTTCCACTGGGTTTTTTTTTCCAGGTCGGCGAGAGAGTCCTGGGCATTCTCTGGTGAGGCTCCTGGGAATAAACTCTGAGAAATGACCGCACATTTTGAAGACGATGGTACACGATGAGCCCAAGAGTGGCTCAGAAAATGCAGAAATAGTGGCCTTGAGGGGAGAAGGCCAGAGTTTCAAAGCGAGGTTCAAACCCTACACGGCTGTCTGAGCGGCGAGTCGCTGCCCGCTGTCAGCGGTCAATGCATGTGCACCTCGTGCCTGCTAACTTCCATCTATGCTCCTGCTTCTGGTGTCGGGGAGCCTTGGGCGGGGGCGAAGGAGGAGGCTTGGAGGAGGTGGGGCTATACCTACTTTGCCCGTAAGGGCCGCCACGACTTCGCCGAAACTGTTGGTCTTGACGACAGCCCATCCAGGAAGTGGCTTCACTTGCACGCACTTGACTTGCACGCACTTGCTCGCGCGCACCTGACTCACACGCACTTGACTCGCACGCAGTTGCGCTCGCACGGCGCTGCACTCGCACGCACTGCACTCGCACGCTCTGAGCTCGCAGGCTCTGAACTCGCACGTGCTCAACTCGCACACTGGATGCGAGTTTCACGTTTAGGGTACTTCTGTAGTGCGAGTTCAGTGCGTGCAAGTGCAGCTGCTGTCAATTTGGTTTGTGCCGGCGCATCTGCTCCGAGTTCAGGCTCGTGCGAGCTCAGCTTCTTGCCAATTCAGCGGGGTCCGAGTGCAGCGCTTCCGAGTTTCAGCTTAGTGTGAGTACAGTCGATGCGAGTTCAGCTGCTTGGAGCTGGGACGTCTTACGTTCTCCCGTGGGGTAGATTATGGGTTTCTACGTGGAATGCCATGTGTGCTTGTTTCTGTTAGGTTTCCCAAGCGCTACGTGGCATCAGTGGCTGATTGTTTCTCAAACCCGATTGGCGGTATGTTCATGCGCTTCCCGCTTGCATGCCCGAACTCCACTTACACATCTCGTGGCCCTATCGGGAGCACCAGCGGAGGTTCTTCTGGCCGTGGCCGTGTGCATATCAGTTGTTGTTGGTTTTCGAGGCACGTCTCATTCGTGTCGTGCCCTCATCGGGGGTCTCCAGAAGGCGCAAGTGGGGATGATCGCAAAATTCCCACCGCTCATCTCCCCAGAACCATATTCCAAATCGCCAGTAGAGCGCCAGTAGGGTCTCTCCATGCGTCTCCACGCGTCTTTTCCGGGTCAGCCCTAATACGTTTTGAAATGCACTCGGGAGTCCACCGACGTCTTCAATGGCGGTGCTCGCATGCGCCCTCCCTAGACATGTCGGAACACCCCATCACACGCTTCCGGGTTTCTTGGCAGCTCCACCAAATGCTTCACTGGCGGTGTTTGCATGCACCCACCCGGCCCACTTGGGCACACTTCTCACACGCCTCCTGGCTCCACAAGGACATCGACGTTCGGGTTCCGTGGCGGCATTCGCATGTCGGCGGGTCCGCGCCCGTCTCGGATGCGGAGAAACGCGGAGGAGGACAATGAGGGAAGGAGGGAGGGATGAGCATGGAGGAGGGATGAGAAAAGTGAAGAGGAGGAGGAGGAGAAAGAGGAGGAGGAGGAGACGGAGGAGGAGGAAAAAGAGGAGGAACAAGTGGAGGAGGAGGAGAAGGATGAGGAGGTCCTGTAGTTCACCCCCGAAGTCGCGAAGATCTTCGCTCTTCGATTCGTCGCGCGTCCCACACTCTCTCGTTCCAGGCTTGCCCCGTGTTGTCCCCCTCTTCCCTTCGGCCTGCTTTCTCGCCAAGGGGTGGGTGCAGCGCGTGCGAGTGTGGCGTATGCGAGTGCAGCGCGTGCGAGTACAGCGTGCGGCGTGCGAGCTCAGCCGTGCGAGGCAAGCGTGTGCGAGTGCAGCCGCGTGCGAGTGCAACGTGTGCGAGTGCAGCGCGTGTTGGTTCAGCCGGGACAGCTGAGGTTGCGCGAAAAAGGCCCCGAAGCTGAACTCGCACGAACGAGCAGCGCAATCAGCAACACCAGCAGCAGCAGCACCAGCAGCAGCAGCAACAGCAGCAGCTCCAGCAGCAGCAGCACCACCACCAGGACCAGCAGCAGCACCAGCAGCAACAAACAGCCAGCTCCAGCAGCAACACGAGGAACCCCAGCATCAGCAGCACCAGCAGCAACATCAGCAACGCCATCAACAGCACCAGCAGCACCACCAGCAACTGCACCAGCAGTACCAGCAGCAGAGCCAGCAGGACTGGACCAGCAGAAACACCAAGATCAACAGCACGAACAACAGCACCACCAACAGCATAGCCAACAGTTCGAACACCAGCAACAGCACCTGGAACCCCAGCAACAGCAACACCGACAACAATACCAACAGCAGCTGCAGCAGCAGCAGCACCAGCACCAGCTACATGTAGCAGCAGTGCAAGCAGCAGAGGAAAATAGCAGGAGCATCGTCAGACAGAGCACACGTAACAGCACCAGGAGCAGCACCACCAGCAGCAGCGGCAGCAACAGCAGCAGCACCACAACCAGCACCATCGATGCCAGCAGCCCCAAGCAGCAATAACACCACCACTAGAAGCACCAGCCCCAGGACCAGGAGTGCCAGCGACTCACATACCCAAAGATCTCCGATTGCACCCTTTCTTGCCCACGTTGCTTCACAAGGGATGCCTGCTCTACCCCTATACCGCCAGGTCTCAAACGCATCGTTTCTGGATGGGCTTGTGCGGAAACGCGAAGCGCCAATAATAGCCACATATACTTTCTGATCGAAGCTCCAAAGCAGCTGGAAGTGCACTCGCACGAGCTACACTCGCACGGACTTAACTCGCACGCCAGCGGCAGCGCCAGGGCGCGCCGGTTCGAAACAGCGTGTGCGTGCGACTCCAGCACGTGCGACTTCAACCCGTGCGAGTGCATCTCCGTGCGAGTTCAGCTCCGTTCGAGTCCAGCTCCGCGCGAGCCCACCTCCGTCAGAGTGAAACTCAGTGCGAATGCATCGCGTGCAAGTGCAGCCCCTTGCGAGTTAATGAAGTGCGTGCGAATTCAGCTTCGGGCGAGCACAGCCACTGTCCCAACCGTCAAGTGTCCTTCCGCACCCGGCTTGAGGCGAGACCCATAAGTGTGATCTTTGCCCTCGAAGCCGGTATCAGGGGTGGCAGAAAGGCCCAGGCACTAGAAACTGTCGGACCCCAGGCCGGGCCCCATCTGGAGCTCCTATCTCGAATGCGGGGTCACAATGGGACTCAGCCGACGAAGGAAAACACATTTCCCCGGACAGAGCGTCTGCCTCGTCGGCCATGCATGAAAATTATCCCGGCAAAGCAACCTAACAGCGATATGTAGAAGCATATCTGAAAGCATTCCCCTTAAGATTCAAATGAAAATCCAGTTGTAGAATTCTGCTGTTCTCGCAGTCGTAGTCGCATTCGCGATGACAGTCGCAGCGGCAACGGCAGTCGCAGTCGCAGTCACAGCCTCAGCCTCAGCCTGCCTCAGCCTCAGCCTCAGCCTGCCTCAGCCTCAGCCTGCCTCAGCCTCAGCCTCAGCCTGCTTCAGCCTCAGCCTCAGTCTGCCTTCAGCCTCGGCCTCAGCCTCAGCCTGCCTCAGCCTCAGCCTGCATCAGCCTCAGCCTCAGCCTCAGCCTGCCTCAGCATCAGCCTGCTTCAGCCTCAGCCTCAGCCTGCCTCAGCCTCAGCCTCAGTCTGCTTCAGCCTCAGCCTCAGTCTGCCTTCAGCCTCGGCCTCAGCCTCAGCCTGCCTCAGCCTCAGCCTGCCTCGGCCGCAGCATCAGCCTGCCTCAGCATTCAAAATGTGGCCCAGGAATGGAGTTCTGGGAACTCGAAGAACACGAAGTGGCCTACAGTTGGCTCCGGGCATTCAAAATGTGGCCCGGAATGGAGTTCTGGGAATCGAAGAGCACGAAGTGGCCTACAGTTGGCTCCGGGCATCCAAAATGTGGCCCGGGAATGGAGTTCTGGGAACTCGAAGAGCACGAAGTGGCCTACAGTTGGCTCCGGGCATCCAGAAAGTGGCCCGGGAATGGAGTTCTGGGAACTCGAAGAGCACGAAGTGGCCTACGGTTGGCTCCGGGCACTCAAAATGTAGCCCGGGAATGGAGTTCTGGGAGGTCGAAGAGCACGAAGTGTGTGACCATGTTGACGAAAAGCA